AAAGAAGCAAGGCTGTGGTGGTACGGACATATGGTCAGAGCTAATGTGGAATCTCTTCTGAAGTGGGCACTCGCACTTAGTCCAGATGGCCGATGGCCCCAAAGGCGACCAAAAAAGTGATGATGGTATACCTGCATGAAGAAATGCAAACTGTAGTTGTATCTTTTGCCAATGCTGCAGACTGGATGAAGTGGCAGGCAAAATGCAAAACTGTGGACCCCACAATATGATGGAAAGAAAAAGAAGATAAGAGGTTCCTCTTCTTTATCAGACTCTTAGATTCTTATGCCTCATTGAAAGTCAGATGCTCCCCTGGGGCATCTTTCTGGAATGTTTTCATCTAAGAGGGGTTAGCCAAGGCTACACATTAGCCACCTTACTTTTCAATCTGTGTCTTAATTCAATAATTCAGGCTCCTTCAACTTTTAATTATCACTTTCCAATGTTTGTAGATTGTTGCACTTTCAGACTTGCTATGTGGAGATGATGCAGTAATTGTCTGTCTTGACATGGTGAGAGTGAGAAGAACATTGAGGGCATTGGTTTCCTATTGCTTAAAAATTATACTAAATTTTTAAAAAATCCTGTAAGTCTCTGCACAATGGAATAGTAGGATGCATAAGTGGCAAATTAATGAGAACCCAATAGAGCAGATATGCACTTAGGTTACTTTATTAATTTAGTTTATGTACTTTTAATATATTTTATGTCTACTATTTAGATTTATTAATTATAGGTTTAGATATTTTATTATACTGTTTTCTGGCCTAAAGGCCATAATAAAAGTTTTGATTTAATAATCACTATCACAATAAAAAGAAGGAAACCTTTTTTAAAAAATCCCTGAAGGAAAGTGATTGGAGTTTATTAAAAAGCATTTCAAAAATCCATTGTTTTGTTGAGTTGGGATAATCCAATATTAGGTGTAAACAATATCAAATTAAAAATTGTAAAAAGTTATTCTGCAAATGTGCATACACAATATAGCATACTATATATGTATGTTGCAAAAACACAATTTAAAATCTGGATGGCTTATGATAATTCTGCAGATTAGGCTAGTATATTTCCTTGTGCATTTTAAGGAAATATGAGAGCAAGTCTCTAGTAGATTGTACTAGCAACACAATGGCTATTGAAGTTTCCAAGATGAGAGGTAGGTCTGTAAGTCATGGGTACAAGTCTCTGGTTTCAGTGGAAAAGGTCTAACTTTATTTATTTACTCGTTCTAATTTTGAGGCTGTCTAATTCCTTGGCAACTCTGGGTGGCTTAAAAGAAACAAAAGAAAAGAAACAATACATATACAAGACAACACGCCCAACCAGAACACAAAACTAAGCTAAACTAAAAGAGAAGCCACAACCACCCTCTCCCAAGGCTTGGGAGAATAATTTCTACAATGTCATAAAGGTAGGACCATACAAATCTCTGACCTCTCTAAATTGGGCCTCCTGAATGAATTCCTGAAGAACTGAGAATAGTGTGCTAAGTGGGCATAAACTTTGGATACTATAAAGTTGTTTTCTGTTTTCCCATTCTACAATGTAAGATTTATTTCCTAATAAATCAGGTAAAACTGCATATGGAAAAGATGGTCTGACCAAAACACATATAAGTCATATAAGTGCTACACAATGGCCTGTACTACACATGTAAATTAGTCATTCTACACTTCATATCTGCTTCCCCATCCCCCTAAATACTATACTATGGATGCTCATGCTTTCAAGCCTGCACATTCTTCATCAATATAATTTATATACTTATTGACAGCAGTCATCATACTTCAGTTACATTTCTGTAATTCATATAAACCACTTAAATTGGACACTATTGCACTATTATTCAAATGAGAGTTCTGAGATAGAATTGTAAATTTAGAATAGAGGCAAGATTTCAGATGGAGGCTTCAGTTCTCCAAAGGATACCGCTACATTTGTTCATAGTCAAAGAATTAGCACATCTGTTTAAAATTATATTTTGTTCTGTACCACGTATTTGGAGCAGGCACTTCAATTTATGGAGACTTGCCTATATGTATAAAGCTTCTCTGAGTGGTTGCACTCTGTAATAGCTCTGCAGTTTTAATGTTCTAAAAATCATTTAGGATACTAAATTGTTTTCTCTTACCATCTCAGTTCTTTGTAATTTAACAGGCAAAACTGTATCTGAAGCCTTGAAGTCTTGTCAGGTAACAGCAAGAAACTTCTGTTTCTTTGGGTAATGAAGAATGCTTTTAATGCTTTCATAAAAATGATCCAGGCTTTTGAAAACTTTCTCAAGTCTGAATACAAATTATGACAAAGTTCTTTAAAAGTTTTTTTTATACCTACTAAATTCTCTGAAATGTCAATTCTTTCACGTGATTGATTCAGGCATATTTTAAAATTCTTTTCCATGTGTTGCAATGGCACATGCAAAGTTGTTCATTTAGAAAACAGAAATTGATTGCCCAGGTAGCTTAGCTATAATAGTCATGAAAATGATTTTGGAACCATCTTGTATTTCAAACTTTAGAAGTTATCAGGATGCTGTAGTTGCAAAAAAGGAAATGCAGTTTTAGTCTACATCAACAGCAATATAATTTTCAAATCAAGGAAAATATTCACTCTCCTTTATTTTGTGTGATTGACACACATTGTCATAAGAACTGGAACAGATTGAGTGTAGGCCATGACAATGATTAAGGGACTAAACCCAGTCAAATCTTATTGCCTTCTTGATAGTTTGCCTGAATCAGTGGTTCAGGGAAATGCTATTGATATATTTAGACTTTAATAAGGCATTTGACAAAGTAAATCACAGCCTACTTCTTAATAAGATAGAACAATGAGGAATAAAAAGTTCCACTATCAGATGGATTCATAGTTAGCTGACCAACTGCACCCAGCATGAGTCCTCAACAGAACTACATCCAAATAGAAGAGAGTATGCAGCGGGGTACCTCAAGGTTTTGCCTTGGGTTCAGTACTTTTCAACATCTTCATAAATGACCTAGATGAGGGAATAGGAGGGAAAACTCATCAAATATTCATACAAAACTATGCTGGGGGAATTGCTAACACTTTGGAAGATAGACTCAAAAATCAGAAGAATCTTGACAGACCTGAGTACTGGGCTTTATCCAACAAGATGCAGTTTAATGAAAAAAGTAAATAAATTTGTAAAGATGGTGCAAACAATATGTTCTATGCAAACTGCAAAAGTAATAATAAATGGAGATACAACAGGGCAATTCCAAATTTCTAAAGGTGTAAGACAAGCATCCCCACTATCACTTTTGTTATTCCTGGAGAAGAAGAACCTTGCATTTCAATGCAGGTTTATAAGCATGACTTTCATGATTTCTATAATTATGAAAACCCCAAGATAAGACTGCCTCTCGTTATCAGCAAGAAAAAAAGGACTAGAGTTTCAAATACCTGAAAGTTGCACTCACAATCACCCAAAAATAACAAACCAAACATTGCTTTCCTCACAGCAATGCTTCACTAAATCATGTCAACTAAATGAAAGGTTAATTTTTAAAGCCAAAAACTGTTCTCATCTTTCTCTATCAGATGCAATCCTTGTTGCATGGATTATGCAACTATATAGTTTTTTCCCAAGTGCTGTATGTTTATATAATCAAGACAAAACAGCCCAGGCAAGGACTTACTTAAACAAGAGCAAGAAAGGTCTGGATACATAAATGAATCCTTCAGACCAATACTACAGAGATCTGCTTTAAATGAGGGCTTTCAGATTCTTACAGGATTCAACTAATTCAATTCCCTATTTCTGTGATGGGAATAATAAAATATACTCCTTTAAAATATTACATATTTAAAAACAGAAAATTCTCAATGAATTTTGTTGCAATTATTTCTAACATTCTGACACAGGGTAACTGAGATCTTCATTACAGCATTCTATATAAATTGATCGGCTAGTATTGTAGGTCATAATAAAATGATCATTTAGATGTTATGGTTCTATTTTTCTGATGTGGTTCTCAGATTAAAAAAACATATTTGCATGCACACAACAAACTCATTAAGAATGACCTTATGAATAAATATATATAAAATTCCAAAAGATCAGAAACTACTCTCACTTGCATATATGTTATATGTATTTTTGTTGTTACAATCTTTTTTGAGGAAATGTTAATTTATGTATTTGAAGCCTGTTTGGGGGGGGGAGACTAATATCAAAGCAGTTCCCCAATATTACTGCCTAGTTTTTCTACATATTTTTAAAGTTATATTCTCATTAAATGGAATTTATCAACTTACCAAGAATTATGAATACTTTGTACATGGAGATATAGTTTAAAAGAATTAGTAGAGGGAAAGGTGAATCTACAACTTAAAAAAAACCATTGTAATGTTTGAATATATTCATTTATACAGGAAGCAGTGAAGAAGATTTTCAAGAAATTCTTTTTTTTCCTTTTCCTTTTGTATCTTTTGCTATTTAAATCATGCCATTGTAACTGAAATATACTGAAATTAATCTTGGCTGTTGTTCACTTTTTAAAAGATTAGTAAAAAGATTAATGATATGTAAACTGCTCTTTCAAAAAGATATTATTTTTCCTCCTTTATTTAATTCATGCCATCTTTTTAACCAATAGTCCAAGGATGTACATTCCTTCTCCATTCTTGACTACTGTTAAGCAATTGGGCAGTAATTTTAACCACAGTTACTACTCCTATGATTTGGGAGCTTTGAAGTGGACTTTAAATCCTCCATGGAAAAGTATCTTTTTGCTAGACATAAAGAACAATATGTTAAATATCATTTTGATTTTTAGATAACATAACATATTTAGTTATAGTATAATATATTTTATGTTAGATATGAAATATATTACACATTAAAATTAATGCATAAATGCTATAGAAACATAAAAATAACATAATAGAATTCTCAGAAGGAAAAAACTAATTACAAATATAAACCAAGGTTAACAAAATTACAGTATAAAATTACAAATCACAAAGCCCATACTTACAGTCTGTGCTACTGTTTTTTGGAACCACAGAGAAATTGGAAGCCATAGGGTTGCGAACAATATCTTCCCACTGAATAGTATCTGCATAGCAAAGAAATCTGTTCTGTCCAACATATACTCCTCCATTTAAGATTTCTGTATCAAAAAGAAATAGGAAGGGGAAAACATATATTGAATTCTTTCTGTGAAAGAAAAATAAAATGATTTTGTAAAACAACAGCAGAAAACACAGAAAGTTCTTAAGAAAATGTGCATTACACTAGTCTAAGTAATCATATCTTCACAGAATTAAGCCATTCCAGTGGCTTTTTCCTTTTTTTTCAGCATTCTAATTAAGACAGCCTTACATAGTACAATTCTGTGATGCAATTACTAGAAGATCAGATGCACCTCCAAGAAATGAAGCTGGAATCCTTATGGGGAAGCATATGGAGAAGTTATGAAACAAGAAGCTACACTTTGGACAATAATTTAATCTATTGAACAATTGGTGGTGTATGTGGAAGAAAAGCCACATTTTAAGGACAGAATCAGTTGAATGGAATGGGACAACAATGCCTCCATTGACTCCATTTCTCACGTATTTGAGAGTGTCAGTTTTATATGTGGAATGCCATACTTCTTCATTATACCTAAGTTTTAAGAGCAAAAGTTAAGTATCTAAATTAAGAACTGCATTATCAGATAGCAAGCATTACTTTGAATTAAAACTTCCTTTTATAAGTTCTTGGACTAGAATTGGAGGACATCTAATAAAATAAAAAAATTATTTCAAATGAAGTATAACAAAGCTAAAACCTTAAACACACAAGGCAGCTCCATTGAGCTTGGAGGAATTTATTAATAAGTGAGTATGCCTACAATTGTGCTACATATAACAAATAATAAGTAATGAAGCAAAAATGCACATTTCTAAGCAGAAGAACTGGAAGCAAAAACCTACCCCATAAATATGTGAAATAACTATATGTTCCCTTTCCCCTAAGTGTTTCCCTGAGAGGAATTAATTTTTTAGATGGTTTCTCAACCACTTTCAGATTATAGAGATGAATACATAAAAGCAATCTCAATTTTGCTGTGCATAAATAAAAAGAAATGGACAAACATTATAATTATGAACCAGGAATATTACTATTTTTAAATAAGCATTTTGAATGTTTATTGAAAAAGCTCTCAATTATTAATAAAACTTCCCTCAAACCAGTATTGTACACTGCTATATCCAACTAAAGTTGGCTACAATGAGACAAAATTATTATTAATAAGACACAGTTTTCTGTAGGTTAGATATAATAGAATTACATTTCACTTTGGTGGCTTTACAGTCTTTTCGGAATGAAATAGGAGGATACCTAGAGTATAATGTCTTCTTTGAAATAGGAAGATACCTAGAGTATAATGTCTCCTTTGAACAACTCCCCAGATTCCTCCTCAGATGTCAACTCAGGGAGGATGAGCATGTCAGGAACTGAGTTGATAGATGGCTTGTGAACTCTCTTATGTGTGGAGTTAAGTTTGTTTGGTGGCGTTATTTTGTTTGAGCAAATTTCAATTGCTTTGTGGACTGTTGGGCCATTGCTCTATGGACTAATCATGGTCTGCTTGTGGCTGGACTTAACTGGAACAGTTTTGAGTTTTGGTGAAGGGAATTGCTGGGGATTATTTATAAACTCACTAAACCATAGTTTATTCCCCAGTTCGCCTCAATGACTGCTCCCTTGACTTGGTTGCTGCAGAAAAGGATCATGTAGAGGTTGGTCAAGCGGCATGCCTTTGAGTTTCCGAAGAAGGTTTTTCCTATGGACCCTATTCTTCACTGCTCTGACCCAATGCAACAGATCATGGTAGAGATGGACGTATTAAATGTGCAGTGGAGATAGTGTTGCTACAAGCTTCCTTGATCTTGAAGCAATTCTTCCCTTGTGCTTACTGCTTACTACTCGTGCATGTTCAACCCTGCCCAGCAGAACTACATAATCTGGGATAATGAGTTGCTGGCAAAAGTCAAGATGATTTTTGAGGTGTGGTGGCACCATTTAGAAGGGGCTTGGCACCAGATCAAAGTGCAGACAGATTATTGGAACCTAGAGCACCTGAAAACAGCCAGGAAGCTCAACCAGCAGCAGATCCGATGGTCTCTCTTCTTCAACCACTTCAATTTTCGAGTAACCTATAGTTCAGGAGTCTGGAACCAGAGAGCCGATGCCTTGTCTCGCAAACTGGAGTACATGCAAGTCGGGGATAAGATGCTGCTCTTAGTGATTCCAGAGTCGAGGTTTGTAGCAACCAAGAGCCTTCGATCTGAAAGAGCAGATCAAGGTGATGCAGCTTCGAGACTCACTTGTCCAGGCTAGAGAAGCAGAGTTAAATTCTATTGGTGGACTCTCGGGCCCATGGTCATGCTTGGAGGGCTTCTTAAGGTTTCAGGAAAGGGTTTATATGTTGGAGAGGCCCTCCCATAGCTGATCTTACTCCAGTATTATAACAATCCTGTGGCAGGGCATTTTTGGCCTATTCAAGACTTTGTACCTGGTGGGGCAGGTGTTCTGGTGGCTGCGGATTTGCCACAACATGGAGACCTACGTAATATCATGCCTGGAGTGCCGGAAAGCCAAAAGCACACCAGGACCACTGCTGAGACTGCTGCAGATGTTACCTATGCTTGAGAGGCCATGGGGAAGTGTATCCATGGACTTCATCAACAATCTTCTGAAATCTCAGGAAACCACAATGGTGTTGTTGTTGGTGGACATGCTCACCAAGATGGCCCATTTTGTGCTGTGCGTGGAGTTGTCCATGGCATGGGAAATGGCATGGCTGTGACTCAGATCTTCCAGCTTCACAGCCTACCTGAGAGTATTGTGTCGGACCGAGGTATCCATTTGGCGGGCAATCTTAGACCTTCTACAAGTGCAGGTATGTCCTGGAGTCTGTGGAGACCCAGCAGGGCAGGATGGGGTGGGGGAAGCAATTGTGGGGGCCCCAGGGGAGCATGAGGTAGTGAATTGGGGGAGGCCTTGGTTGGTCTGCTCCAGCACTAGGCCCCACATGCTATTCCTCAACCTCATGTGCATTTAAAGACCTGCACATTCGATTAACAAATGCATTGGGGAAAGCACGGAGTGATCACATTCATTTAACATGATTTAATCAAACAAATCCTCAGGTTGCAAATGTAATTGGCATAATTAAAAAAACACATATAAATTCATTTTGTAAGGAAGTTTGTTATTCTCTTGTATGGTAAGCAGCAAGTTCCACACTTCTTTCCCAATACTAAAAGCAGGATTTAGGATTAACACATGTATCTAAATTATCATGGTCCCTAACACATCCATTGTTTTCTTGGAAATGAGTTACTACACTGTAGTTCAGCCAGTCTTCACAGTCTGTTTATTCTAGATAAATGATAGACACAGAATCTATAATTATCAAAAACCATCACCATTGCACATGGACTAAAGGATTTCTATTTATTTTAATCATTGCTGGGAACAAGACAGTCTCCTTATGTCCCACACATGCAATAAGTTAAGCCAACAAGTCCTTCAAGCCAAGCCATTTCATTTTCACTAATAATTACAGTGTTCATAGACATCTAGATTTTGAGGAACTATGAAATCTATAGATCCAATAGTAATACTTCATTTATTGTGCACTTTGTTGAGAGGCTTTATAACTTATACCAGGATTATGAAAAGAACTAAAAGAGACAGCTCATTCCCTTGTCAACTAAGCCTGAGAGTCACATGGGCAACATGTCCACTAAATGACTGAAAAATTATGAGTGTTGTTTGGCTAAGCGTCCCTGCACACCAATGGCAGAATCTACATAAGCCACATAATGAGAGTGATGGAGGGTCTCATGGAAGTCCTGCCTTAGCACCACACAAGTCCCATGTCAAGCCCACCCCGGCCACTCCCACCCAGTTACATGAACATCCAGCCACACCTACCCATCTGGTCATTAGGGCAGAGAACCGGTTGTTAAATTATTTAAATCCTACCATTGAAGAGCACCCTATGATATGTACAGTATATAATAGACATATGAGAGGACTTCTGTTTGGCATTGCGGCACAAACAGCTGGAAAATAGCAACGCTCTGCTGAGCTCCATGAAAACCAGCCAGCAACTACTGTCGGGAGATTCTATGGGGTCCTAGCCACCCTGGTGGGGTGGTGAAGAAAGGACAGGTGCTTTGTGGACCATGAGAGAAATTACAATTTCCTTATTAGGTTTGAAGAAATCACTCCTGAACCGCAGCAGGGACAATGGCCATTTTGGCAAGTCACAAGCTGTCACAACTGGGACAATAAGATTTATGCTGGAGTGGCGTGGGGACAGACCATTGAAACTGGGTAAGAAACTTCCAACTTTTATGCTAGAGATCTAACTCAAGTTAAAAAATTCCAAAAAATAATCTCCAAATAGCAAGAAAATGGCTATCAGATACAGGGAAAAAGATTTAAGATCCAGAGGTGAAAGAAATATTTAATGGAAGCTTTAAAACATAGAAAGCTTGGAAAAGATTCCACAATTACTTGAAAAGCGATTATTGGAAGAAATTGCCTTTTTATTTTTATTTTTAATCCCCCTCCATCTGTTTGACAATCAGCTGTTTGAGGTTGTCTAATGTTGGAATTGGGAGTAGGGGAGCCATCTACTGGAGGAAAAAAAAAGCATTACAACCTGGGGAACCTAAGTGAAAGTGACAATTGAAAGTAAACAACATCTGGAAGGCCACCTGACCTTGATTCTATTTTGGTAGGTAACTTGGATGTTTGGAAACATTTAGTGAGTTCTTTGAAAATCTCTAACACAATTAAACTGCAAATAAATAGATCTCTATTAAAACTGCTTATTGAATGGCGGACTTGAAAGACTGGAGGAAATTCGGCAGGCCAATCTGGATTTGAATTACTTAAGCTACCTGATAGGACATGGTAGAAGAAAAAAGAAAAAAAAAAAAAGAAAAACTAAAGACTATAAAAGACATATGAATACGAATATGGGCAGTGCTTTGGACTCGGATAGATCTTTTTAAAAAATGCTATTAACAATTCATTTCCAAGGAAACTAATTATTTCCAAGCTCAAGCAAAGAGGAATGTATCCATCAATTGCTTTGATA